GCTGCTGCCTTTGAATGTGATTGACAAAATCAAAGTTTGTCAACTCACACCCAAAGATCTCCTCCGTCTTCTCTGGGACTCGCCTGGGTTTTCACCCACGAACTCAACCTTGCAGATGGCCATATAAAGAAAAAAAAAATGATGATGCGGGGAAGCATCTTTCAAAAGAATAATAAATAAAAAAAAAAAAGTAGCAATGATGATGCTGGGAAGCATCTTTCAAAAGAATAATAAAAAAAAAAACAATGATGATGCTTCTGGCACCATCTGAAATATATATATATATATATATATATATATATAATTATAAAGGCTTCAGGCGTGAAGGCAAAAGAAAAAAAAAAAAAGGTGGCAATGATGATGTTGGGAAACATCTTTCAAAAAGAATAATAATAATAAAAAAAAGATAGCAATGATGATATTGGGAAGCATCTTTCAAAGGCAACATCAGCTGCCAATTGTTTAAATTAGCAAAATTGGAAGATGCAAGGTAGTGAGCAAAATGCAGTGGCCATGCAGTGGCCTATATGCGTGTGTGTGTGTACAAGTTTTGGAATTAAAAGTAAAGAAAGTAATGAAGGTCATCATTCATGTGTGGACATATTTGTTATATACAAGTTGTAATTTTGTAGAGTTTGAAACTCACACGGTGCCAGGCACACCGAGAGCAATTACAAGTGCGGAAAAAAAAATGTATCTAACAAAGAAAGAGGAAGATGGAGCCTTCACAAAGGTCGTTCACGTGAAGCCCCACTACTTGGCCAAACTCCAGGAGCCGGAGGCACCGAAGATAGATCATTCGAGGCCCCAATACTTGGTGGAACGCTTGATGACGCCGGAAAAATGTGCCTCTGGAAGAAAGACGCAAGCCTTTGACGGTCACTTTGAATGCGACCTTGAGATTCTTGCATCTCATCAAGCTTCCTCTTCATGCCCGACGAATAGTTATTTGCAAGCACATGCAAACTTCTATTCTCGTACTTAAGCTGTTTAATCTCCTGCTTAAGATCTTCCACCTCTGCCATCAATGATTCCACTTGACGGGACCGAGCAAGCAGGCGTTGGCCCATGTTGGACACAGAGCCCGCACACTGAACACTAAGAGCGAGGGACTCTTGAACGGCCAACTCATCGGACCGTCCTGACAGCAGCCTACTATCTTTTGGAGTAAGGAGGTTCCTAGCTACTATTGTAGCTGTTGTGGCGTCCTGCATCACGGAGTCTTCACCTGTAAGAGGACCGTTAGAAGATAAGAAAGAAGGACACCATACATTACCTTGAAGCGGCGCAACCGGATCACTGCTGAGACTCAATTCTAAGCTAAGGTTCGATGGGTTAGCCATTTTTTAAAGGTGTTAAAAGAGATGGGTGGATGGAGTTAAAACTCAAAAGGCCGGAGATGATTTTCAAGAATGAGCAACCTTCAAAGTATGCATGTTACAGGTGATCAATACCTCTATAAAAAAGAAGAGGCGCTTGCTCAGAAATCAAAGAGGCGTTGGTTCAGAAATCGAAGGGCCGCTTATTCAAAAGTGAAGAGACATCGCTCTGCAAATCTCAAAAGCTGGATTTTCCGGCGTAAGTTAGGCGACGCTTTCTCGGCTTTCCAGAAAACGCGTTCAACTTTGTCAAAAGATCTCCGACAAAGTTGAAAACACGTGGAGGCTGGCGACGCTTTCGCGGCTTTTCAGAGCACGGGTGCCACTTTGTCAAAAGATCACGTAGAGGTCATCATCGCAGCTACACATCTTTAGCTGACAAGCGCAAAGTTCGGCGACGCTTTCTCTGCTTTTCAGAAAACGCGTGCAGCTTTGTCAAAAGAGGCACTCGTTCAGAAATCGAAGAGGCGTCGTTCAGAAATCAAAGAGGCGTATTCAAAGATCGAAGAATCGTCACTATTTCAAAAAATCGGATTTGCGGGATCAAAACGTTTGTCGACAAGGGTAAAAGAACAGTACCACCACTTGCTATTGGGAAATCCCTATATATGTCGACCTTCATCTTTTATGGCAAGGCAAACCTGCAAACAAGAAAAAAAAAATGCCCAACTCTTCCTCACCTCCGAGAGTACACTCCCAGCAAAGCATCTCAAAATGCTCAGTTTTCTTCCTCTTCGGGAATACCCTTGCAAACAATTGACACCAAGGCAAAAGTATCTCATATCATCAAGGGCGAAAGCAAAGGTATCTCATATCATGCTTTTTCCCTATCTTTTCCTTTGCCCTTGTTCTCACCTGCCAGGACAAGGACAGAGAAAGCAATATGTCGGAACCTCCACTCAAACTTGCGCTGCCACCAAGAAGTGATGATCCATTCAAATGCAAGGTTTGCATTCAACTCCTGCATCAGGAACAAATAGTACAAGAGAAGATGCTAAACCTGTATAAGGAAATACCACTTCTGCAAAGGGGAGCAAGTAAGGCAAGTGAAAATGATACATTGAAGCATGTGGAGACAAGCTACAACTGCATATGCTGAGCTATCCTCTAACCCTCTTCAATACGAATTGGAGAGATTGAACAAAGAAACAGAAAAAAAGGAGTAAGCTCAGACCTTCGGGGAAGACCAAAAGAATCCTGCTGCCCAGTTCAAGAGTAGCACAAAGGAAAATCAACGAGTGGAGGAGACCAAAAGAATCCTGCTGCCCAGTTCAAGAGTAGCACAAAGGAAAATCAACGAGTGGAGGAGACCAAAAGAACCCTGCACCCAGTTCAAGAGTAGCACAAAGGAAAATCAACGAGTGGAGGAGACCAAAAGAATCCTGCTGCCCAGTTCAAGATCAAGCCTCGATGGCCCTTGAAGAAATCACAAGTCCGATTCAAAATCAAGTGTTCACCACCTTTGAATCAAATTCAACTCCAGATAAAAGGAGTAAGTTCAGACCTTCGGAGGAGACCAAAAGAATCCTCCAGCCCAGTTCAAGATCAAGCCTCGATGGCCCTTGAAGAAATCACAAGTCCGATTCAAAATCAAGTGTTCACCACCCTTGAATCAAATTCAACTCCCGATAACAGGAGTAAGTTCAGACCTTCGGAGGAGACCAAAAGAATCCTCCAGCCCAGTTCAAGATTAAGCCTGCGGAAAATCAACGATTGGAGGAAACCAGAAAATCTTCCAGTCGAACTCAAGATCAAGCCTCGATGGCCCTTGAAGAGATTTCCAGCCCAATTCAAGATCAAGCCTCGACGGCCCTTGGGTTGACATCTACATTAAGGGACTTCAAAACGCATCTTCTACACGTGACAAGCACATGTCTACGACGCGCCTTGAAGTGGGGGCATTTGTAGACATCAAAATTTCGGTGAAATGAATGTTGACCAATAATTAAAATTTCAACGTTCAAGTGTCACATAAATTTTACATGTAGCGTGTGATTCAACGAAAAATCGAAATAAATTGGAAAAGTCATCAAATATGACACATGTCAATACCTGGCAGAAATGATTTATTTCATCTGATTATTTAAATCCAAAAATCAAGTTTTGGAATTCTATAAATAGGAGGCCAAGGCATTCATTTTGAGGGGGAAGAAAGAAAAGAAGAAGGAAAAGAAGAAAAGAAGGAAGGAAGAAAGAAAGAAGCCTTGAAACTCTAAAGCTCTCAAGCAAATCCCGAAGGATCAAGAAAGCAATCTTCGTTCTTCGTCAAATCCACCTTCAAGATCAAGCCCCGACGGCCCTTGAAGAACTTCCACCAACTCAAGATCAAGCCCCGACGGCCCTTGAGGAAAGTGTTTATCGTTCATCATCCGTTCAATTCAAGATCAAGCCCCGACGACCCTTGAAGAACTTCAAATCCTCCTTCAAGATCAAGCCCCGACGGCCCTTGAGGAAAGTGTTCATCGTTCATCATCCGTTCAATTCAAGATCAAGCCCCGACGGCCCTTGAAGAACTTCAAATCCTCCTTCAAGATCAAGCCCCGACGGCCCTTGAGGAAAGTGTTCATCGTTCATCATCCGTTCAATTCAAGATCAAGCCCCGACGGCCCTTGAAGAAAGTGTTCATCATTCATCATCCGTTCATCCTAAGATCAAGCCCCAACGGCCCTTTGGATCAACAACCTCAACAAACTCATACACCCATTCTTCAAGATCAAGCCCAATGCCCCTTGAAGATCCATTCATCAACTGTTCATCCTTAGATCAAGCCCCGACGGCCCTTTGGATCAACAACTCATCCACAAACCCACACCCTACGAAGATAGAATCAGAGGACCAAATTACAAAGAGATTGTAACCCCAAAATCTTTAATACAAAAAATATATTTTGTACACGTATTCTTGTCTTTTGTGTTTCAGGAATTTCTCGTGTTTACAACTATATCATTTGGTTTGCTTATTTGAATTAAAAAATTTGGTCTCCTTGGCATTATCCATACTTTTTTTAGCATTGAGTTTGAATTCCTTGTCACCTCACCCACCCCCTCCCACAACCGAGAACAACTTAATACATTGAGATGTGGAGAAAAAAATTTCAGTGATAATGTATTATTGAATAGGAGACACTACGTGTTAGTGAACTGATTTCATATAAGTCATTCTCCCTCCACCCACTAGGGTATTCATTCCACTTTGTGAGGAGATTATATTTTACACACAATTTATCTAGCTTTTGAGAAAATTTTGAAAATGTGCGCACATGGATAAACACACTTGTATAGCCAAACTTTACAAAGCCAACATATGAGGTAAGACAGTATCATTCAATGCTACAAATATTTTAACTATTAAATTTGATTTTTACCATCATACAAACTTTTTATTTTGAATCTGATTCATTCATTTTTCGTATTATCCATTACCAAATCTTCATAGATGGGGCGGAATGCTCCGCAATGTAAACGACCTGCCGTATGCTTCAGATACACACCAAAAAAAGCGAGGGACTCTGGACCGCCGGATTGGTAATGTCGTTTGACTTACTGAACGCAAGCAGTCCATAACTCTGCAACTCGGTGCTTCTCCCTCCCAAATTCCCTGCAAATTCCCGATCTTCTCCATGAAATTACTCAATTAATTAAAATTAATAGAGAGAGAGAGAGAGAGAGATGGAAGCGGTGGCGGAGGGGCTGTGGGCGCTGGCGGACCACCAGGAGCAGAAAGGGGAGATCGGGAAGGCGGTGAAGTGTCTGGAAGCCATATGCCAAAGCGACGTGTCGTTTTTCCCCATCGTCGAAGTCAAAACGCGCCTCCGTATCGCCACCCTGCTCCTGAAGCACTCGCACAACGTCAACCACGCCAAGTCGCACCTGGAGCGAGCTCAACTGCTCCTCAAGTCCATCCCTTCCTGCTTCGACCTCAAGTGCCGCGCCTACAGCCTCCTCAGCCAGTGCTACCACCTCGTCGGCGCCATTCCGCCGCAGAAGCAGATCCTCCACAAAGCCCTCGAGCTTTCCGCTTCCGCCGGCCACGAGTATGTAGTAGCAGTGCCAGTAGCCTTGAATTTCCCTACTTTTAATGCTTAATTTTCCGACCCCTTTTGATACCCATTTCGTTTTTAGTTTTTGACGTTTCGTTTTTGTAATTGTTGTTTTTGTTCAAGTATTTGGAACTTAAAATCTCATATTGGTGGTGTTGTGATTGGTGTTGTTGTTGAAGAATTACGGTCAAGTTATGGTCTTGCAACTTCAATTCTCAGCTTGCAAATGCTCTGATCATCGAAGGGGATTACCGGAGTTCTATCTCCGCCTTGGAGGCCGGTTTTGTTTGTGCTGCCGAAATATATTATCCCGAGTTACAGGTAAACGAAACTGTCTGACAAGATAACATTACTTGTAGGTTAATTTCATGGCTTAATTTACTCATTTTGGATTTAGATGTTCTTTGCAACTTCTATCCTTCATGTACACCTAATGCAATGGGATGATGAGAGTACCGTTGAGCGAGCTGTTACCAAATGCAATGAAGTGTGGGAGTCCTTAGACCCGCAGAAAGTATGTTCCCATCTTGCCGTCTTAATAGTTTTCTACATTGCTTATTCTAATTCATACTTTCCATAATGCTGATAATGGTTGCTTGTTTTACTTTTACCTCGTTCTTGCTTGGTTACACCCATAAAGAGGCAACAATGCCTTGGTTTACTCTTCTATAATGAACTGCTGCACATATTTTATCGACTCCGGATATGTGACTACAAGAATGCTGGAGCACATGTAGAAAGATTGGATGCTGCTATGAAGGCTGATTTGCAGCAAATGCAGCATGTGCAGCAGCTGGGAAGGGAACTCAATGCTGTAAATCAGAGTCTTTCCCGGTTTGATCTACACCACAGGGAGAGGTCAGCATTGTCTGAAAAACAGGCTCGGCTTCAACACCAGCTCTCTAGTCTTTCAACATGGAGTTCAACTGCCCCAGGTTCCCTGGAACCAGCGTATTTTGGAAATATGAAACGAACATATGGAGATAAGCTTGAGCTAGCACCGCCTCCTCTTGATGGGGAATGGCTACCAAAAAGTGCAGTTTATGCTCTTGTTGATCTTATGGTGGTTGCGTTGAGTCGTCCAAAAGGAAATTTTAAGGACTCTGGAAAGCGTATACAATCCGGAATTCAAACCATCCAAGGTTTTCTTTTTACTCCTTTTATTTTTGTGGGAAGGGAGGGCGGGAGGGGGATTAACATGTCATTCTATGAGCCTCTGACTGATGGTGATACACACTTTAACTTGAATTATTTTGGTTTTTTATTCCTTTCCTTTTTCTTTTCAGAGGAACTTGTGAAGCTTGGAATAACTGATGGTGTGAGAGGTAAGTTCACTTTGAGGTGGCTATAATAACATGGTTACGTTGCTTTTATTTTTGTTTGAACATTGTTAAAGCAACCTTTCGTAAAATTTTCTGAGCAGAGGTGAATTTGCAACACTCTGCTATCTGGATGGCTGGTGTGTATTTGACGCTACTAATGCAGTTTCTTGAGAACAAAGTGGCTATGGAGTTGACGCGATCTGAATTTGTAGAAGCACAAGAGGTAAGTGCATGTCTCAAGACATACTTGTGTGTATTCTTAATCTCAAGGTGACTGCATGTAATGAGTATAGTCAAATCAATATACGTGCACCTTGCAGGCATTGGTACAGATGAAAAATTGGTTTATGCGCTTCCCAACAATTTTACAGACATGTGAGAGCATCATCGAAATGCTCAGGGGGCAGTATGCTCATGCTGTTGGCTGTTATCATGAAGCATCTTTCCATTACATTGAAGCTGCAAAGGTAAATATTTCTTGAACTTCAGTATCTGCCATATATCACTAGCCAAAAATTAAAGGTTTTATTGTTTTTACAATGAGAGAGCAATATGCTAATTTGTGTCCTCTACCATGTTTGTTAGATTTCATTCTGTTTGGTAAAAGGTAAACAAAACAAATAAGACATATGGACGTAATTTCCCTTGGCATCTAAACTATGTGTTACATGTGTTGTGTATGAGCAGCTGACAGAGAGCAAATCAATGCAAGCTATCTGCCAAATTTACGCAGCTGTCTCCTACATCTGCATTGGTGATTCGGAATCATCTACACAGGTGAAAGGTTTTCTGTAGTTTCTGTTCTGTTGCTTTTATATTTTTTTTAAATTTAGTATTTGATTGCACGTAGTTTTCATTTTTTTTTTTCTTTGGATTTTCCCATTGCTGAACAGATGTTTGGATGCAGGCACTTGACTTGATTGGACCTGTTTACAGAATGATGGACTCATTTGTTGGAGTTCGAGAGAAAACCAGTGCTCTTTTTGCCTATGGTCTTTTATTGATGAAGCAACAAGATCTACAGGAAGCAAGGTACATTCAAGTCCTTTATCATCTTCTGCGGTTGGCATTATAGATTTTAAACTGTTGTTTTAAAGTCGGAAAAGTTTTGAATTTGACTGCTGTGTGGAGATTTCTACTCTGTTTCCTTAGTCATTTAGACCGAGTCCATTTTATCTCCTAAAGCATTTATACGAGTTGAACATGTCATATATATAATGTCATTGATGTTTCAATTGTTTCTATGTTAATATTGGATAATATTTTCAAGTGATGTATCAAATCTTTCTTCAACTCTATATATTGTTAATTAATTCACTCCTTGAAATGCTATCTAAGAAGAGTGCACCGTTATCCTTCAAACTATGAAGTGATGAATATTTGCTGTCTAGCTGAATCCTGGTTTCTAGGAGACCCACGGGGGTTAACCCTACAGATCCAACCATACGGACAAAGACAAGAGCACAAACTACTACTATGGAAACCAAGTCCTCCAGGCTCTGCCTTTTGCTTACTCTTTGTTTTAGTTCTTGTGTACATAAACTTATAAATCCAGCTAATCGTGATAACGGATATGATACTTGAATTTTTTACAATATTGACTCTCTCCTAAATCTCATTTTGGTGCAGAAATCAACTTGCCAAAGGTTTGCAGTTGACACATACTCATTTGGGGAACCTTCAGCTTGTTTCACAGTATTTGACCATCCTTGGGAGTTTGGCACTAGCTCTTCATGATCCTGGACAAGCCAGAGAGATCTTGAGATCATCCTTAACATTGGCAAAGAAACTTTCCGATATCCCAGCACAGATATCGGTGCTCTCTATTCTGACAGGTATATATGTTCCTTTTGGCTCATTATATAGAACAGACAATCTAGTTTCTCCATTAGTGCAACAGAGAGCCCTGCCACACTCTAGGTTGTGGTATGCACTGACTGGACTGATCAAATTCACGTTTATCCTTTTACCTGCAATGCTATGTGATATTTTCTAATGGTTCAAAATTTGTATACATGACCATGTTCTGCATTCATGTATCAGAGTTTTGGAACAAATATTTTGTAACCGGAAGAAATTTAATGTTTACGGTTGTATTTTAGGTCATTCTTCTGCATATTAGTAAAGCATGTCGGATTTCATCATTTAACTAACTCAATTGAGTAGATTTTAACTCGAATCTTCATTGGATTTATTCTGCTGATACATGCTATTTTTATGGTAGCTTTGTATCAAGAGTTAGGCGAAAAGGGACATGAATTGGAGAATCTTGAGTTCCAGAAGAAAAGGGCGGATGAATTGCAAAAGAGACTTGCAGATGCACATTCATCCATTTACCATATTGAACTAGTGAGGGCAACACATCTCAAAGTTGCTTGACATGTCTGAAAAATGATTTAATCTTTCAATACGGGGCACTCGCTGATCATTTCTCTTGTACATATAACTTGCAGATTGAACAAGTGAAGGTTGAAGTACAACAATTTCACGGGGTTGACATCAATCGTGCAAACATGGGCCCATCCATGAGTGACAGTCTTGACATTCCAGAATCTATTGGTCTATCTGCCCAGTTGCCTACTCATTCATCATCAAGGCTAGTTGATTTAGACTCAGGAAGACGTGGGAAGAGGAGAATTTAGATTCTGACTTGTACAGTTCGAAACATCCTCTATTTTTCCCTTCTTAGGGAAAATGGGAGACTGATAACTTAGAGGAGATTGAAGTTGAGCACTTTGAAATCTATGTATAGTGTTGTGAAGTAGGTCAACTCCAGCGACAGAGTAGCGTTTGTTAGCGCTGGTATGAGAAATGCTGTATATTTTTTGGTGAATGTAATGTTATCGGGCAACGTTACCATATTTACTTGATTCCTTGATCCTTGGGAAACATAGTTTATGTCATCAGTGCAATGCAATACAGATGCTTGTTTGGTTTCACTTTCATGTCATGCAGTAGACTGATTACATGGTCAAAATTTTATGTAGGATGAACGCGGATTGATTACAATGTTTGGATGAAACGATGTACACTACGACATGTGATCGGGAAAAATGCAGCGCCAATAAACAACGGCAATAGTGAAAACTCTTTGCGTATTTCTTGTTCCATGGATAAACAAAATGCAGGGCTGCTAAACAACGGTAAGTGCAGGATGAGAGCGACTTGAATTCATCGATTGTCTTTTGCTCTTGTTCTCATGCCTCGTTAGCAGTTAGTCCCGAAATTTCTTTGAGTGGCTTCCACACAAATTTCCTCCTGCCAATGTATCGGTTTTTTGACATAATCGTAAGATGATCTATGCTATGAAAGTAGGCATGAACACCTAAACATCCAGGACAAAAGGGCATTTGGCATTACCAGTTTCCACACTCGGCGATGACCCTCACTTTGGGACGTAGCGTGGGAAGCAGAGCAAGAAACTGCAATTCAGCCTTCGACAGAACCTGAAGTACATGGGACAACATTAGAGTGATTATATTCCGATTTTGCTTTGGAAAGTGATTTTCGCACTCTGCTTTTGTCTGCAAGAGTAAATACCTTGGCTTCAATGATCCAGACTACAAGGCCTTTGGCTTTTGGAGGCAGAGCGGCAAGCCTGTAATCCACCTCTGGTGGAAAGTACCATCTTGATATGGGCTGCTTCCCTAGATGAGGCTACTTTCCAACAACATTTGAATAAGAAAAACAAAATGAAAGGCTAGATGACGACTAACAATTTGATAACATGACATATTGGATATTTGGACTCACCGGACAAACAGGGTGAACCTTGGTGAGGGTGGTCTCGGGATCACCAAGCCCTCGCGCGCTAAGGTCGAGGAAATAGTAACCTTGGTAAGTCAGGCGGTTAAGGTAGCGGCCCTCGTACCCTCCCTCGTGGGGAGAGTAGACGGCGAGGGCCTTGTGCTCCTCCACGTCAGAAAGCCAACGGCCGAGATCAAACCTCACCAAGTCCCCTCCTATGAAGTCCTCTATCCCTCTCCCACACCTTATCATCCCAGCCCTCTTGGATCCCTTACCATTTCCATGTCCCCCTCTCAATCCCATCAATAGCATCATGTTTATGTTTCCCTTCAGCTCATTGTTTCCGATGAAGCTGCTTCGAGGCGGTGGCTGCTTGTGCCGGAGATTCGCAGAGACGGGAAGTATTGTTCCATGCTTGAAGCAGCTTGCAGCTGCCATATTCTAACTTGAAAGAAAGGTAGTGATGGTGTGGGAGATAATGCCAGTAGCGGGAAGTAATGCGAAGACAATGCATTTGTATGGTGGACAACAAAGATAAGAATTCACAACTCTTTCTTCTATTATGTTTGACAAAAATTAAAATAAAAAGAAAAAATACTTGGCTACTTAAAAGATGAGTAAAATGCAAGTTACTGTAACATACAATAAAATATTGATTTCATGAACTTCAGAAGCAAGATCTATTCCATCAACGTTTCACTATAAAATTATTAATTTGTTGAATCTCAAGATCAACTAAGATAATCATATTTGGTAAAGTTCAGATTTTAGATTTTATCGTAAATCAATTTACAATACAGAGAGTAGCTTAACCCGTTATGATCACATGCAAGATATTTTGATTCGCTATGGTTATCAAACGATCCCTAATGACTTATTTGGAATTTCTTTTAAAATGACTAAAAACACTTTTAATGAAAACGGTTTTTGAATCAATCATCACTAAAAATGCAAGTGTGAATATTGAAAATGCAATTGGAAGTGATTCATACAAGAAATATATAACTGAGGTTTCTTACCAGAAACATTTACATCTTTTTAAAACTTAAAAATATTTTCTTTAGAAATACTTCTTGGATCATTTCAAAAATACTTACAAACGAGACTGATTCCTTAATGCTTACTAACATGTGCACTCCCGATCACCATGGGGCTCACACCGCTTTCCTTGGCCCGGCAACCGCACCATACCCAAATACTCCCAGCAAGTAAAAAGTTTAGAACATTGGTTTTTAACACACAGAATCATCAAAGAATCAACCTTGACTTCCTCCCCCCTTCCCTTCTTCTCCGTCCTGATTCATCCTTCCCTCCCTCCGTAAATCCCTCCCAATTCAAAGTTTTCCCAATTTAGGGTTTTCAGATTGTCCCAATGAAATAACCTTGTTGGGTCCAAGCAACAACAAGAAGAAGAATGCTGGGTTCCACCGCGTCGAAGTGGTACAGAGTCGGCGGGCTTCTCCTCCACCACAAACCCCACCGGAGCTTCAATTCAACCGCCTTTGCCGCCAGAACCGCCTTCCACGGCAGCCCCATTCGTCTCCCAAAGCCTTTGACTTCGAACCCCGTTCGCACAGCATCAATATTCCCTTTCCGTATCAACGCCTTCATCGCCGATGCTACATCCACCCCTTCTCCGCCGGACGGGCGGTCATTGTTCTCCACTTTGCCGGACAAGAACAACCCGACTCCTAGAGTTTCTAAAGGGAATTCCGTCGAACAGATTACGAATGTGCAGATTTTCCGAACTCTAGCCAGTTACTTGTGGATGAAAGATAACTATGAGTTCCGCATCAGGGTCATTGCTGCGTTGGGGTTCTTGGTTGGAGCGAAGGTCCTCAATGTGCAGGTGCCCTTCCTTTTCAAGCTTGCTGTTGATTGGTTGAGCTCGGCTACTGGCAATGCCACTGCTCTGGCTTCTTTCACCGCAGCCAATTCGACCCAGTTGGCGCTTTTTGCAACCCCGGCTTCCGTTTTGATTGGATATGGGATTGCACGTACTTGTGCTTCTGCTTTCAACGGTACTACTACGCATGAAGTAATTGCTTGCTCATACCATTTTCTTTGGATATTCATGCTTCAGTAACATGTTTATATACGTGAATTTGGAACTGGGTTGTTGTTTATATCTAAAATTTTGTGCAAATATCGTTGCAGAATTGCGGACTGCCGTGTTTTCTAAGGTAGCGCTGCGAACAATCCGATCGGTATCTAGGAAGGTATGAAAGTAGCGTTCTCCAAAATGTATCCTTTGTTGGTTACATATATAGCATGCTTGGATTACTCTAAGAAGTTAGATGCTTTATATCCTAAAATTTTCCGTTACAAATGCAATTTAAACATTTTGCAGGTCTTTTCTCATCTGCACGACCTTGGTCTTCGATATCATCTTAGGTATCCATATCTATTACTTTCCATGTTTTTTTAAGAATGTATGAATTAGTTGTAGAGGAGGGGTGAGAATTTAGTTGTCCTTAGGGGAGATATTGTGCTTTAGTTTATAATAACAGCTTTTCAACAAAGTTGATATTTTGAGCTATTAGTTGCATGCTTACAATTGCGTTATCCCTTGTCTAATGTAATTTCAGTCGAGAAACCGGTGCACTAAATAGAATAATTGACCGTGGTAGCCGTGCAATAAATTTTATTCTCTCATCTATGGTGTTCAACGTTGTACCTACCATCTTAGAGGTATGATCTGTACCTTTGGTTATTGTCAAGCTTGTTGACATGTATAAAGACACTGGAGTTTGTGCTGTTATTTGTACGAAGGTTGAGGTTCCACTCGCTTCGTATATATGACAGAACTACATTACTAAGTTTCTGAACAAATTCAACTGATTTGACATGTACCCTTCCAGATATCTATGGTTTCAGGTATACTGGCTTACAAATTTGGAGCACCTTTTGCATGGATAACTTCACTATCCGTTGCTGCATATGTCGCATTTACATTGATTGTCACACAGGTATTGTGTCTCTTGTCAATCGTTTGCTTACAGTCTCTGGAATGAATTGTGCAATTTTTTCCAGTCTCTTAGAGCATCTACAAAGGACTAGCTAATGAAATTTCCATAGCTAAAATATAGAACAGTTTCATAAAAGATGCCCCCATCATACTACTGGCTATTTGCCCCTAAAAATTACTCAACCTCTACGATCTTATACATATGAGGGAGAGAAAGTGATTCCTAGTGACTTGCTATCTAACATTTTAATATAATTAGCAAGCAAACTTCTTCGTTTTGAATATTCTGGAGAGAGAAAAAATTTAGAAACATTCATGCCTACTTAAAGTCGGGAGCAGGGTTGGAGTAACAATACAAAAGTGGCTAGCTAAAATGACTTTCTAGTAATTTTAACTAAATATGAAGAGTCCCCTTGGGGATGCTCTAATTTCCGCTCCTTGTTGGTCACACCTTGTTTCTCTTATTAGTGGTCTGTATTGGTATGTACTTTTCTATTCATACATGCATATAATGCCGTATTGATATATTTCTAGATTATCTTGCACTTCATCGCCTTATCCTGTCTATCGATATGCTGATAGCTTTTGGTTTATGTACTTTTTGTAAATGATTTTCTTGCCTTTACAGTGGAGGACTAAGTTTAGGAAGGCCATGAATAAGGCTGATAATGATGCTAGTACAAGGGCAATCGATTCACTTATAAATTATGAGGTAACATGATGTACTTTGTATGGCTTCTACTCACTTTATGCACAAGTTGATGTTCTGTGGTTTCATCATCTGATGCTGTTTTCTTTCTACAGACCGTGAAATATTTCAATAATGAATCTTTTGAAGCCACCAAATATGATGAGTACTTAAAGAGTAAGTTTTTTTTTTTTTTTTCCTGAATTAGCATTGGTCTGGAAACTAATATGAATTAAACCCACTAGTTCATGGTACACAAAATGTAAAAGCTGCTATTAGTCTTTCTGATAAACTTAAAGTCATAAAATGTCAAATTATTTTGAAGTTAGGCATAAACATGTATTTATTCACGACATACATATGCGCTGCTTGCTTCCTTGTCAAGAAAATTATTTCCTGAACCAACCTTGATGCTTCCTTCTGTTTCATGCATTTATGGGTTTGCATGGTAATCTCAGGTGGCATTCCACCAAGCTGACTTTTATTTTACTTTTACTGAATGTGCTTTGTGGGGTATTTGTTCACATGGTATTGGACATGTTTGTTCCTCCCTGAAATATTTTTGGTTTGCTTGCACTAATAATAGTAGTTTTTTTTCTGAGTTTAAATTGAGCTCGCACTCATATACCCTAAAATCTTATTTTCATGGTTTCTTAATGCTTCTTCTGTTGCTTGCCGTTATTTTATCTTTCAGGGTATGAGGATGCTGCTTTAAAAACACAACGCAGTCTGGCTTTTCTGAATTTCGGCCAAAATATTATATTTAGCACGGCTCTATCAACTGCTATGGTGTTGTGTTCAAATGGTATTATGAGTGGCAATATGACAGTTGGTGATTTGGTAATTTTCCTTGAGATGCCGACTTAAATTTTGAAATTTTTTTGTTGCGAAGTGATTCTCTAATGGTAATTCAAATTATTGTTAAAAAAAAATGGTAATTCAAATTATTGTTAAAAAAAAGGTAATTCAAATTATGGTTGAATCAATATACAGGTCATGGTGAATGGACTTCTATTCCAGCTCTCGCTTCCACTCAATTTCCTTGGTAGTGTTTATCGTGAGACTATACAGAGTCTGGTTGACATGAAATCTATGTTTCAGTTACTGGAGGTAAATGAAGGAACTTCACAGTTTACTTGCAAGTTGGCTTTTAGTTGATGTATAGAGTGTTTCTCTTTATCTTTATTTTTATTCACTTTTTCACTATAAGAAAATCTATCTTATAACGGACAAAACCTATGCTCTTTCTATTTTCAAGCCTTGTTAATGAAGAAAAAAGAAGGAAATATATACAACTCTTATTTTTTTAATTTTGGGTTTTTACTTTGTACTTAAAACTTTTAAAAGAATGAGAGAGATTTTGTTTGCCGTTAACGTTATTTTGAGATTTGTTATCTTGTACATTGGTGAGATGGCAATTTTTCAGTTTCTAATACCTTTTTCTTGTTTTAACTCTTACTTTTGTTTTCGTTACTACCGTAGGAAAAGGCTGAAATTGGTGACAAAGCTGATGCAAAGCCTCTGGAGTTACGCGGGGGAAGCATTCAGTTTGACAATGTACACTTCAGGTGGTGTATGCTTCTCCTTCTATCTTTCTATCCTTCTATTATTATAATTTTGGGTGTTTAAAAGAATTGGATCTCAGAAGAAGGCTTAAATTGGGTGGGAGTGAAGGCTTTGCTTGCCCTTTCTCTGAGCCGGCATTTCTCTCTCTGGCTGTTCTGTCATTGATATATCATCCTGTACTTGTAGAGTAGTTGAAATAGTTAGCGACTTAGCATGATGATGTAAGGGGTTCCTTGGAATCTTTATGTGTGATATTATTATAAGTGTATTGTTTATATGATCCGTTGCTGATGCACTATATTCCCTTTTTCCATGTATGCAGTTACCTGACAGAAAGAAAGATTCTTGATGGAATATCATTTGTTGTACCTGCTGGAAAGAGTGTGGCTATCGTTGGAACCAGCGGAAGTGGTAAGGGGATAATCTCTTGATACAATGTTCCTTTCCTCATTGATATAATTTAATGTTCAACATGAAATTCTATATGTTTATGGTTTGTGTGCTTCCTTTGTGACATGGTTCTACCATAGTTCTGCTGCTATTGCTTGATGTTAGCCTGGCAGTTATTAGGATAAGCAAGTGATGCCCATGCATATTTATTTCTTTTATTTTTATCACTTTTGCATGGTACAGCGTATTTTTGTTTTTACTCAATAGCATGGGTTCATGTATGTATTGAATTTGCATTTGCTTGCAGGCAAGTCCACCATTCTCAGATTGCTCTTCAGGTTCTTTGACACCCATTCTGGAAGTGTAAGCAAACTAATTCTGTTTTCTGTTAGTTTTTCCTGTTGGTACAATATGGACTTTATTTACAAAGCATGCGGTGTTATCTTAGTGGTCGAGTCTGATGCTGATGGTTCAAGTAGCGAATGGTTGCCACTTGTTAGATTTTGCCTTGCTTATTGTCATTGCTGAAAGTTTTTATGCTGTTTGCAATTTCTAATCATTTAGACAAAGTTTATGATGATGATAGTACTAGTAAGAACTTGCCATCAATCTACTCGTCAGCTCAAAACATGCTTTAAGCTGTTTAAAATTTTTAATCTGCTAGGTATCAGGAAACAGCTTGGTGTAACACACCTAGGGATGACTAAGGATTGAATTATTAAAGGGAAGAACATAAATATTCCCTGAAAAATAACAATCTATGTTACTAAACAAGGAATTGAATTGAATTATGACTTGATTAGAGATGACCAAGCAAGGGTTGAGTTAAGAGGTTTTAATAAATTGTATTTCACGATTCAAATGGACATTGTCACATTCCTCCCTTTCTCATAAAAAGTTTGCCATTGACAGATAAAGATAGATGGTCAAGATATTCAGGATGTAACACTTGAGAGTCTACGGAAGTCCATTGGTGTTGTGCCCCAAGATACTGTAAGTCCAAATAAGCAACTTCATTTTTGTTTTGTTTCTGGTTTTAGTAGGTACTACAGCAAACTCTGAGGTGGCTATGCACGATCTTGCTGGTCTTAAGTAGTAACAACCTAATAAGGAAATATTTTGTGTTTGGCAGGTACTTTTCAATGACACAATATTTCACAACATTCATTATGGTAATCTTTCAGCACCAAAAGAAGAGGTATAAGATGGATGATTATCTCTTTTATTTTTTTTCTTTGAAAAGCTTATCGTTTAATCTACGGTGCTATTTCTTGGCCTAAATAATTATTTTTGTTTAGGTGTATGATGCAGCTCGACGTGCAGCAATACATGACACCATCATGAAGTTCCCTGACAAGTATTCTACTGTCGTAGGGGAACGAGGGCTCAAGGTGAGAAGACTGATGCTATCTACACAGTAATTTGTTTGCTGTAGTCATGGAATAAACATCCCTCTCTGAGGGGTTAGGTTGGGTTAGGGTGCTACATGAGTTTACTTTTCTGCAGTACATCTACCTCCTGCAAAGTCAGTTTTTTGTAGTTTTTTTTTTTTTAAATTGCTTATTATTGTTGACTGTGTAACATGCTGACAGAAAAAGGGGGGAAAAGGAATACACAGCTGTTTGTTAATCCTTCTTGGTGGAACTATTGAATTCTGAAAATTTTGATAATAATTCTGTGCAGTTAAGTGGTGGTGAGAAACAGCGTGTGGCACTGGCTCGTGCATTCTTGAAAGCACCTCCAATTCTGTAACCATTCTTTTTTATCTTTTTTTCTTTTTATTCTTGCTCTCATCCTTTAAGGAGAAAGTAGTCTGACTATTTTATGATGTTCTTTTTATTTGACATCCACAGTTTATGTGATGAAGCTACAAGTGCACTAGATAGCACCACAGAAGCAGAAATATTAACTGCATTGAAGTCCTTGGCAACTAATCGAACATCAGTTTTCATTGCCCATAGGCTAACCACTGCAATGCAGTGCAACGAGGTAAGCATAACTAATCGAACATCAGTTTTCATTGCCCATAGGCTAACCACTGCAATGCAGTGCGATGAGGTAAGCATTCTTTCACCTATGTGTGGATTCTCCTGCATTTTTATATCTATTTCACCTTAACATCTAAGACTCTGTAATTCATACTTAAGTTTGGTTCGTGGGCATGAAAGAGTGCTATATGAGTTGCAGTTTTGTCATACCTTTTAAACTATTGAACTCTTAAGCTATTAAGGCCTCATTTGATGTCTACAATTGGCTTGCATTGGATAACTCGCTAGATTTGATGAATGTTGAATGAAAAAGCATTCAACGGTAGATGCTCACTTGAATAGTTTGTCCAAGTGCAGGTAGAAGATGGATTAGGAGGAATAAGTTTTCACAATTAATCCTTCTCTTACCTTCACTTTGAAAAACTATGCAAGTGGGCATCCACTTCATTCAACATTTATTGAAATCTAGTGAGCTTCCCAATCCTAGTCACCAAACAAGGCATAAATGTCTTGTTATCAAAGTCATTGTTGTGCTACCCTCTGTCCTACAATTCCTTTATATTTTCATATTCCTTTTGTACATTGCTATATCTTTCCGTATTCCTTTTATCTTACTCCTCTCTTTTCGAACCAAATCTCAGATAATAGTTCTGGAGAACGGGAAAGTAGTTGAGCAGGGATCCCATGATGTTCTATTGTCTAAGGCAGGACGATATGCACAGCTCTGGGGACAGCAAAATAACACAATTGATGCACTTGATTCCACCGTTAAATTGGGGGCATGACCTTGTTCCTATTCCTCCGCCCCTCTCTCCCTACCAAAATAAGAAAGAGTGGCTTAAGTAGCTGTATTTTTTTTTGTCAGTCTTGCAGTACTTTATTAGCCACCTTGGATAACCAACTTATAGATACATTGGATTAGTATACATGAGGATGCACTTGGGTTTAAGCAAGGATCTCGCGCACGCTTGAAAAATCAATAAATGGCATGTGTATTTTGCCATACGGTTCTTCTTTGGTCTTCACTTGACAATAAGTTTCAAGCACAATGTAAGGTATGTAGTACTGCTTGGTTCCTTCTGATAAATTGTACAGTAGCCAGTTTAGCTTTGAGAAGCATGCGCTGTTACCTTTGCAGCCTATGATCATCGGAAAAAATTTTGTGTAAATTAGCTTACTGATACCCGAAACAGCTTCTTAACTATGTCCTTGCTGCTCAGGATTGAATTCAGTTCACTTTTATACATCATTTTAGGAAGGATTGTGGAATTTTTTCCGTTCCATTTGTTAGTCAGAGTTCTCCATTGTATCACTTGTGCACTATTTGTAAACAATAGAGTTTGGCTTTGTGCTTTTAGTTCTATCCATCCATGCACAAGATGTAAATCATTTTGGCAATTTGTGTTTACACATGTATCTTCTTCTTTTTCGCGCAAATTGCGCCTAGCATTGTGTGAATTTATGGTTCTTTATTGCGTTTGTGGAGTGAAAGGTAATTTTGCTTATGTTATTCTTTTGTCGTATCAATAGCGACATTGTGTAACGTAAATAGTGTTGTGCCAAATCTGGCGTAACAATTGCATGTTGAACAGATTAGGAAGTTACTGGCACTCGTAGAAGTTGAGTTTGTTCATCGCACAGTTGTCAAAATAATCGTTGCATGTAACGCTTGCCTGACCACCTACCCCGAGCACAGACAAAAGTGCCCGGTGTATAAATTCATCTGTATAGAAGTTCTTGATCACTTGAGTCTGAGAGTGGATTGAATGCATGTTATGTGATGAGAATTTTGCCAGATTTGAAAGAGTTCTAGGGCTGTGAGTGTTCATTTGGTAATTTTACCTGCACTTTCCCATTTGCTGTTATCTCAAGTGCTGCATTGGCTCTCTCATGAGGTTTGTTCTCTTTTCTTTGCTCCAATCTACCTTTCCTTCTATACAGATTCTGTACATAGCTGCATTTTTACCCGGTTGTTCGTAACATCTTTGTTTCGAGCTTCTAAGGTTCGGTTGGCGGGGTTTTCCGGTCCCGTGTTATTTTTCTTACTTTAATTTCAGTAATTTTTCATTTTCCTGTATCCTTTAACCATTATTGCTTCAAATTTGGAAGATACAAAAATGTACTTGTGCTGCAAAAGGAGGAATAGGGGAGGAAAAGGAAGACTTCCATTTGGCCTGTGTAGCTTTCATCCTTACTCTCCTCTCCTTTTGCATGTGCATGTTAACAATGGATCCTCAATGTAGGAGTTTGAAAACGAGCTTACAATTGAGGAAGTGCTTCTTCATGAAGCACTTCTAAGAAAAAGCGTTTTTGCTAGATGCTCGTCCAAATTTGAATTAAAGTCTTAAATGTTATTTTAAAAGTGCTTTTATTATTCGGAAACACTTGACTTTTTCTATCAAAAGTTGTCTGGGTTTTTTTTTTTAATTTTTTTGTGTAATTTCAAGGCGTTTTTAGCTTTTCTGAAAACACTTCCAAGCGGATACCTCTAGAAATCAAGAGTTGCGGTTGTTTCAATAAATTATCATGGTAAAAATTTCAAGTTCTACTATTCATCACAAGGAAATTTGCTTCAAGCCGTTATTGTTTTGGCAAAAAAAATAAAGACAGAAATAGTTTCACCTTGCAAACCTTCTCTCTTTGTTTAGGGAGCAATTTTCCAAAACTTACTATTATGTCTAAACGTTTTTGTTGGAAGTACGTTGAAATTTAATTAAAATCTAGAAAGTACTTTTGCAATCTAAATGTATGTCAAACACTGACGAAATGCTTTTTGTCAATAAAACATCGCAGTAAAAATTTCTAGTTCTACTTTTCATCAAGTTTGTTTCAAGACGTTGTTTGAAAAAAGCAAAATATTTTCACCTTGCCAACCTTCTCTTTGTGGTAAAACTAGCAACGAAAGTGACATCATCGGTGATGAGCTGTAAAATATTTTGGTAAAATATCTTGGTGCTGATGCTGATGTGGGAGAGTCCGTTACAAATGAATTGGTATTTTGCACTTAGGTACGGTTTTATAGTTAAAATGGTTTTTGAAATTGATATAATTCTTTATTTTGGTCCCTAAAATTCAATAAAAGTGATTCCTGAGTTTGTACATCATAAATTATTTTGGTCATTCCTAAAAAATTTATCAATATCTTTGTCAAATTATCACATGAACGATCATGTGACCACCTTTTTATGGATATTTTTGTCAAATCAACTCCTCTACTTAACGAGGATATTAGAATATGTTTCACAAAAGAAACAAAATGATTTACGATGGACAAATTTAGAGATCGCTTCTATTGATTTTTAATGTTATTAATCAAAATGAGAAGTTATGTCGATCTCAGAGAACTAAAAAGTCCCAAAATATTCATTTGTTGTTTTCCTCCCTCCATTCCACACAACAAGGTCACAACAACGGTAAAAAAGAAGGAAAATTAATGAAAAGGGCTTGAAAACTTTTAGTTTTAACGATAAGGACAAAATAAAGGGTAAAGTGAATAGTAACATGATTGACTTTTTAGTGTAAAAATGTGGTTTTTCGTTAAAGTGAATAGTACCGCGGGCTTTTCGTTAAAACTTCCTAAAAAAAATTCCTTTTCTATTGCGTCCTAATTTACTTTTGCTTCAAACTTTACTTCAGGTAAGTTTTCATGTTCTTTCTTTGTTCCTTTTTTATAGATTAATTTTAAAGAGAGTAACATAGAAAGTAAAATTTCTTATAAAAGCTGATATGGGAATAGTAACAGAAAATTAGAAGCGAATTACACACACAAACTAATTACAAACCTTTAATCAAAAATGAAACTAGAGAACACTGAATCGTGGATTATGTCCGACATTATTATAAGTTTAGTGAGCCTCTGGTTCTATTTTTGATTAAAAGTTTGTAACAGACCCTTTTTTGTGCGCATTTTCTATATTACAAACGTGGGTTGAAATTAAAATGTATATGGTGCAATCCAGAGATGGAAATATGGGAGGGAAGTGAACTAGTTGAAGGGAGAAGGAAGAGTGCCCGAATATTGGCATTGAAGGAGGTTAAGAAGAACAAGGAAATCTCCAAATCCAAAGACAATGTCCGTAGAGAGAATGGTCAGACACCCGTTGCAGCAAAAACAGCAGCTTCTGGTGCCAAGAGGGGCCGAAAGCGCAAAAAACTTGACGATGTAGTTCTATCCTCTCAACAGGTCGTTCTGTCCCTGCCCTACTCTTGCATTATGTATTTACATATATTCTTTGTATTGATATTGTCGATAGTGTATCAATAACATGTTGGTACTTATTGCCAACGATATCAATACCTTAACAATATAATACGGATAGTTAGAGAGGAACAATGTCCGTTTAAGTGAAAAACTAATGTATATATGTGCATATGTAAATTGAAACTCTAGTTTATCTTTGATGCTTCTTTCAGCTGCAGGGTCCTTACCATAAGTTGCAGCTCGGTAATCCTTCCCTTCTCATTTGCCGTTGCATGCGGGATTTTGAAGATCGAATACATGATGTCGATGCAATCAAGATCAGTGAGCCTCTTATTTCTAACATAGATGTTTGTTTAGTTCAAGATTTCCGAATGCAGTAACGTAGTTATTGTTCATGTTGCAGAACAACTGTTATCTACGCCATTGTCGGTGAAACAAGTCTGCGAGTACATCCTTAATACATTACAGAGGTGTGTGCACATTTTTTTTTCCCTCTTCTGCAATGCTTGAATTACTACTTGAAAAATTACTTAAGGACGTCGATTATTTACATACGATATGTTTTTTTTATCCTAATCTTTCTGCTTTACATAGGAGGGACACACATGATGCATTTGCTCAGCCTGTTGACCCTAACAAGGTTAGTTCTACACTTGTTGCCAAATTTTTCTCACATTTTTTTTTCATCTTTCTAATCAGAAAACAACAATATGTTTCTTGGTTTCCAAGGTAATAACCTATTACGCAATCATAAAAAATCCAATGGATTTTGGCACCGTGAGAGATAAACTTCATGCAGAAATGTATGCAACCCTGCAACAATTCAAGGTTCGTGCCGAAACAAACACTCTTCCTCCTTTCATGTTCTTTCCTCTTCTTCTTCTTCTTGCAGTTTGTGTTGCACCATTTTCAACTCTCCTTCGTATCCGGTGTCTTTCAGAAACCGGAAAAAATTACCACATCATCTTATGTTTTGAATTGCACCGAGTTGCATGTGTAATTGGCGAAATTATGAACTTTTTCCTTTGAATTAACAGCGTGATGTGCTGCTGATACCCAAAAATGCAATTCACTTTAACGCAGAAGCCACCATATATTACCAAGAGGTAGGTTAATTTATTTAATTCTTCCTTTTCATCGTTTTTTTTTTTTTTTTTTTTTTTTTGTAATATAAACTACCATGAAAATCTTATTTTTCTTACCAGGCTCAAGGTATAAAAGATCTAGCCGACGAACTTTTCAGAACTCTGAGATGTGATCGAATACGTTTTCTGTTAAAATATTACTTCCATGAAATACTCTGCCCTCATGGGCATGGTGGAGATATACACTCAAAGTTTCTTGAACCAACTGGGAAGCCAAAGTTTCTTGAACCAACTGGCAAACCATGGCGCTTGTGTGGCTCATCCCTCAGAAGTGAAAAACAAGCAGATCCAAATCCTGGTAAGTATTGCAATGGCTTAGAGACTACTGATTAGAAGATAACTAGAACAGGCAGAATTCGAAGAATGTTTCTACCTTCATGCATTTTTATGGATGGAAAAGGAAGCTAACCTGGTTTTCTTTTCCCTTGCTTTGGACAGGATTGAGAGATGGTAGGGACTCAAATTTAGCCAGAGCGCAGAGGCGTTACACTTATTGTACGCCTTCCAAAGAGAATGAATCTTTAATCTCAGCTGTCTACAATGCACCCAATAAATCACTTGTTCATGTAAGTTACTATGATATAACCTCACCTGCATAAGGAAGTACAGCAAGTTAGTTTTTTACACACAAGATTTTTCGTAACTTCTGCACGATATGTTTCATATGCACACAGAAAAGGACTTTTATTTGGCATGCAATTTGTTCCATGACCGAAGATTGTGATAGCCTGTCTGTATTCAGTTGTTCTCATAGAACTTTATGGAAGTGTTTGAAAAATGTTTTAACTTTGAGATTATATACTGGTTTGGGCAAACTTGATATATAAGTATAAATAATTAAATATATAACTTGGTTGCTTCTTCTTGACAATGTAGATTGATGCTGGATTAGGATACAAAGAAAGTCTCATGCGGTTTATTAAAAATTTGGGGCCAACAGCTCAAATGGTTGCTAAGAAGAAATTAGAAAGTCTAGTTGCAGCTCAGAATTGTCAGCCTCAGGCAACCCCTCCATTTCAGAACCAAAATTATCCTGCTTTCGCCCTATCTGCATCACCGGCACTTGGCCATCCTATTGGTGTTAATAGTTCTCAAATGACTCAAATGCAACATAATTCCCTGTATAACTTGCCAAAGGAAGTGAATGTCCCTTATTTTCTTGGTGATGCTTCTGCACAAGGATATGCCCCGGTTAGAGCCAGCCTATGCATCAATGAGGGTGCTTACAAGGGAAACATGAATGCACCCGACACATCCAGAATAGACATGAAGGGTAATCTCATTGACCCGAAAGGGAAGGCACATGAGGAAGGACATACTTACAAAAAAGCTTTCCCGGAACGGATAGGTATTGATATAAACAAAATCATGGACTCCCCTAGCCTTACCAATGGTATAAGACTTCACAAGAGCAAAATGGAAGGCAGGCCTCATCAAAATCAGAACAGCAACGTTCAGTTGGAGTCGCACATTCGCGTTGTTAGAGATTTGGGTGGTCCTGAGGGAAACAGCACAAAGTTTAGGACTGTGGATATGCTAGCAGAACGTAACAATGTAGGAAACCTGCAGCAGCTTCCGCAAGCTCGGATGTCTAGGACTGCATTGAATCAGTCGAGGCTGCAAGAGATCATGTCAAATACCAACACCTACCTCAGGACATCATCTTACTTGCCTTCACCCACTCCAGAGCTGTCGAGTTTGATCCAGACAACAACTTCCTTCAATGGTTTCGACACGCAACTGAGTAGCAACTATGCAGCTAACTCTTTTCATGCAGGTCAGCTTCCTCAAAAGAATAACTATATAGCTAACCCTACACAGGCAGGTCAGCTCATGCCTCAATGTAACAGTCCCAATGCGGCGCAAGGTGTGCAAGAAATGAGTAGCTTTCCCAGCATGAAACTGAAGCTTGGTGAGGATCATAGTGCATTGGCAAAGAGTGACATGTTTATGAGGAGAGAACAATGTGTGGAGTCACTGGCGGTTCAGGGAATAGTGAAGCCTCCTCCCTTGTACAATGCATTTGGTAGCCATGAAAGAGCTTCAACTCAATGGTACCAAAAGGAGCCTACTCCTGAACCTCTTCTGCCCTGGCTGGTGGACTCTCAGCAGCCTAACTTGTCTCTTCAGCTGTGAGTTGAGCTATTTGAGGGACTCCTTTGAACTATCATCCTATGAATGTGGATCAAAACTTGTTTTGTATTTCTCCTTTGAATGTCCTTTGCCTTGTCGTAAGTTAGAGATAATTTTATGTTTTATGTTCTAGTGCATGATGTCTTTCTTAGCGTTGTTCATCTATGTCGTCTTTGAACTGCTTTCGCAGCACCCCAGACTTATGTTTTATATTCTAGTAATGTCTTCATTTGTGTTCATCTATGTCCATCCCTTAGGGCTTCAATTTTTTATTTATTTAACTGCAATACTCTATTTAATTTAATTTAAACTACGAGAAGGGGAATTCAAATTTGCAAGCATAGATGAGTACACTACTCTAGCCAACTTGACTAAACAAAATTTGCTAAGACTTCAATTTAAGTCCTCTTTTAACCGGCTGTGCTTCAAATTGAATTTTTTCTTCACCCGCAGCTATAGTTCAAGAGTCTAAAAAGTGAACGTTAAAATGATGAATTCTCGCAATGTGGCATCAAAAGACGCATAAGTTCTCAAAGAGGGCAAGTGAAAAGACAAAAAGCACTTATTCCTAGTGAAAGCCACTTCGCCTGTACATGGGCTGGCTCCTTCCTTCAACCTGATAGTTTAAGCTTTATAGTATTTATATTTTAACTAGGCTCGTGTTTACCATTCTAAGCAGATACTTAACCCTCCAATAACAAATAACAAGTAAAAGTTAATCATTAAACAACACTAGCATGTTTTGCTATGCCTGTGAAACTTCACTTCGATTAGGAAGCTCGTTGCTGGGTTTATTGCTTATTGTTGGCATTATTTTGGACGGAGATTAATGACAGCTCCCTTGAGGGGGTGGGAGGTTGCAGATCTGTGAATTTTTATTGAGCGAATGGGTGGGTAGTTTAGATTAGGAAGCTTTGGGCATGGAGGTGCTGCTGTGATGGACTGATGGAGGGGATCGAGGAAGAGCTTGTCATTTTTTTAATTATATTTTTAGCTTTCAAAATATTATAATAGTTTTTAATATTATTTTGTACACCTGGCAAATAAGTGGGCCCAATCATACCACATTAGTGAACCTAACAGATTTTTTAAGAGAACTAACAAAAATGATAAAACGAAACAAAAATTGAGTTTCAACAAGTACAGTGATCAAAATTAAGTTTCAGAAGTTAAAAATTGAAGTGAAGTGCCAAAAGAGCATAACAAAAAATAAGCCTACAATTAATGCTTTAACTTATCAACAAAAAATAAGCCTAAAATTCATGCTTTAACTTACCGACACGTCAACATATGATACGATGTTGGCAGGCTGCCACCTCTTACTTTTTAGTCTTTAGTTATCAGGGAGGGGGGACCATTACTGTACGTATCGTTTTCACTGACTAGGGTTTACAAGAGAAGGCCACCTTTAGCTTACTTCACATGTCAATGAACTATTATGTAAAGGCTGAAAGCAAAAGAGTTGAGACCACTTACTATTTTATGACCCCTAGGGTTGGAGGAGATGTTTTTGGTTCTGGATCTATCCTTTGCGGAGAGCCTTGATAAGTAGGTGTGATAACTTTTCCCTCCCATGTGTGATATCTGGAAAGCTCATAATGCATGCAGGTTTATAATTGCATTATTCACTTGGATATATCATTGACTCGCGCGCTAACAGTTTAAATTTCATAAATCTAGTATGTTGAAATGTTCCACATCGACCGTATCAATGAGAAAATAAGAGTTTAAATATCATAACCCTACTCTAACTATCACTGAGACCCTTTCTGATAAAACTTCACACCTGACGGATCCCATATGTGATATCTGGAAAGTACATAATGCATGCAAGTTTATAATTGCATTATTCACTTGGATACATTGTTGACTCACGCACTAACAGTTTAAACTTCATAAGTCCAATATGTTGAAATGTCTTTAAACTTCATAAGTCCAGTATGTTGAAATGTCCCACATCGGACTGTATCAATGAGAAAAGAAGAGTTTAAATATCATAACCCTACTCCAACTATCACTGAGACCTTTTCTGATAAAAACTGACATACTTCATATTGAAGTTGCAAACTTACAAGAGAAATTTCTCTCACAATCGAAGAGTATCATTAACAGTTTAAGCCTCGAAAGTCTAATTACTGTCTAACATGAATCTCTATGGCACTGTTGGTTAATTTTCTAACAGTGTAACCTTTTGCAGCCCAACAATTGTTCATGCATCGTTTCGGCTCGAGTAAAATATGACCTCCCTTGCTAAAACCCGTCACACCAAGGGAGTTTCAAGCATACATTGAGGAAGCGCACACAAACAAGTGAGGAGAAACTGCATTTCCCTCTCTCATTATATACAAATACAAGAGGTTCCCTCACATCCAACTCCACTTCTTTCAAACCTAGCTGATCTCCCCGATCAGTTGTGAGAGAGACATTGTATACGAGTGACGAGAGCATTCTCATAAGATTTAAGACATAGATATCTTGGGTATACAAGTAATTTCCTTCCTTGCCCAAATTGGTAATGAAATAGGTCGAACTAGGTACTTATGCTTCCAAGAAAGAAGTCTAAAGAAAGCAAAAAGATCCGTTGTCTTCTAGTAGATCACCTCATGCACTGAGCCAATTAGAGATTTCTTCGAATGACATCAACAACAAAATAAAATAGGGCAACTGACAACATGGAAACACACCCCCATATAGAAAGAATATTAATTTTACCGTAAGTTAATCAAAGACCGTAACAAATGCTCATTACTCGATAAATACAGTTAAAAATCTACTTCACTTGTACTTTCATTATCTTTTTTTTGGTGTACTTCCATTATCGACAACCACTGAACTGCTTATTTTAATTCACTTTAGATCCTCACACACACGTACACATAGTATATGCATACCACCTTTTGAGCCCTAAAAAAGGGGTTTTCCGCTCCATACAAACAAGAAAACCCTACTCACAATTAAATTTTAACTCTGCTTGACTCATTACTTGTAAGGATCCAACAGAACTCACAACTTACAACTTGATAGGTGCATGTAACAACTCGTTAAAATCACACCAAAAAACCGTTTTTATACGTGTTAGATTGTAATTTTCAGTTTAGGATGAATGACAATGACCTAAGAAGGAAGCCATGTTTCTTTCTTAATTTTTACCTCAAAGGCTTAAGAAATTTGTGCAAAAATAATGCTCAAGAAACAGATTTTCTGCTGATAAAGACTAAAAGTGGATTGTGGGGTATGTGATATACAATAAAATACGGAGATCACGACTGCCAATGAAGCATGAAGTGCAACAATAGCATATAGCTCCAAGTTCCAACCTCTGCAATTCTGAGAGACTGAGAGACTGCGTTTAGCCCCACTAGACGTAGACATGAGGCGGGTTTTAAGATACCAAAACGCATGCCATAAAATTTCACTTTCTAATTATGATGCGTTGCCAAACATTGCCAAAAGAATAGAGACAACCAACCACAGCCTCCATATTTCCCCCAACATAAAACATGCACCTGTAAATTGTGAAGCACCAAATGAAAAGCTCCTTCCCCTGGCGAGGGTTCAGTTGACACTGCTCGACTTGTTCGTTCTCTAGTAACATGTTTTTAACTGTCTAGTTTTTACTAAAAATAATAATCTCTAAGCACAGGAGAGAAGCTTTGATGCAATGGGAATATATATACCTACATACTCTCTCTCTCTAGTAGCATGTTCTTTTACCTTTGCATTTACCTGTTGGAGAGAAACTTCCATGCAATGGGGTATACACAGCATCTCGCTCTAGCAGTATGTTTTTAACTCTCAAGTTTTTACTAAAAATAAGTCTCCAGATTTCTCACTCATCCAGTCTAGTGTGATAGTCCAAGTGGTTAGTACGAAAGAGAGGGGAACGATGGCAGGACTGGAAAGTTCTTTTTCCCTCCACAATCATTTTGTTCAATTCAATGGAAATGTTTTGAAGGGTTTTGAAGGGAGAAAGAAGTTCCCTCTCCATTAAAGTTCCATGCCACTAATTTCATAGGGTTGATCAGCCTCTTTCTCTTATTTCCTACTACCTGCAACCAAAATATATGGATACAACAAAAAACGTACACTAAATTTGTTGTCGAATTTCAAGTGGTGTCACATCATCCATTGTAATAGATATAGCACCCCTGACCAATTAGTTTAACTTCAGCATGTTCAAAATGCACAAACATAAATTGTGGTGTAGAAAAATGATGGCATTAACGGAGAGAACTGCAATTATAGTATCAATAGAGAAATCGGACATAATTCAATTCACCTGACGAATATGTAACAAAAAAATGCGGAGATAAACACAGTTCTGATCACTAAGTACATCATGAAAAGAAATGGTTAGGTAAACAATATATACAACAAAGAAGACAGTAAAAGGGAGCTCCCTTCAGTCCAAGCACAGAGAAGAAAAGAATGAAATTTATCTCCCGCATCATTCACACATTCGCAGTAGAAATATCCACTCCTTTTCTACTGAGTTTGAATGAATGAGTCGGCAGCTAATTCAAACCCTTTGCCCTTCCGTGAGTGGACTGAAGAAAGCTCACTTAAACCATCTCTAAGAACACATAATACACATGATTCCAACAATATTTACTGCTCCATGAAAACTATTATTCAAAGGGATGAAAAATGGAAACAAACATTTTGGTACGTTTATGCTAATTCAGAAGTGGGTAAAACAAGAAAGACCAACAAGAAGACTCAATTTTCTCTCTTTTTCACTAATGACTAGCTAATTGAACAAAATGTTAATATGATGCGGTTGCAATTCCAAGTACATTTTTGCCTATGATGCAACCATATAAACTTAATAAGGTTTCCCTGAATCATTTTGAAGTCTAATTAATAAACGAAAACAAGCAAATGACAAGTTAAAAAGTGATCACAGTATTCACTAGTGCTTCCTTGGATGGAATTTGTGTATGCAGATGACCTGCATTCAAATTTCATGTTCAAGTATATTCCATTAATAGTTATTATTGAAATGTTATAGAAATCCTGAAAGCTATAATATTAATTCTTACTTAACTTAATTACAGAAGTCCTGCAAGCAGAACTTTTATTTATATAACTGAAATCTTACCGAAATTCTGGGAGCAGAAATGTTCAAATCTAACCTAAAATCCTATTACTTTAATGTTACAGAGCTCTTAAAACCCAATTAACATATCTGTATTTTTTTGGGGTAATTCCTGTATATATTCTCAAATAGGTGTAGAGATTATGCAAATTACCAGAAAATAGTGTCGAATTCTGACTTTCCATGACTTATAATGTATGTCCAAGACTTGCTTTCTCTCCATTTCTTCTGTTTTCCACTTGCACATAATTAGAACCAGATAATTTAAAGTGGGGGAGTAACTTCTTTTTATTCAGATCTCAAAGTTAGTATTTCTTGCATAAACCCTGACCCCAAGTAAATGTAATCCCACTACTATGCACCAAAGATTCACAACCACCAAAAACATCAGATCATATATCATCGCCTTAGATGCCCTATGAATTACTCTTAACAATATATATACATATATATATATAAATAAACAAAGATGGTATAACAGCTTTCATCACCACAATTTAGTAAAATTAAAGATTAAAATTAGTAAAGATTGTGTAACAGTTTCTTCTACGAGAATCTCATCGTAAAATTAAGGAGCTTTTTAGAGATTAGGAGGGAACAAATAAATAAAATGGTGTGAGAAAGACCAACTTATCAAAAATGAAGCAAACACATACCTGATAGACTAAAGGACTAAAAGACTTTCAGACTTACTAAGAATAGAACCTCCACAGAAACGTCCTTACAACTTCACCAAAAAGTAAATCCTTGCAATTCAACCTCCATCAGCAGCCGCACTGTGTATAAGTCTGTGATGATACATTCAGAAGAATTGAAGAAACGCAGACACAGAAAAATAGACAAAACCCATGAATAATTAAATGACACTATTAAGAAGAAAAAAGATAATTAATCGAAACGAGTGATGCAAAAATCAAGGAGGGAGAGGGAGGAGGGAGAGGGAAAATGGGGGGAAGGAGGTGAGGAAGTGTCGCTGTCTTTCATGGGAATCAGAGAAGGGAAAACGATATATTGGAGATCTCTCTATCTACCTGATCTCTCTACACAAATCTGGCAAAAGCACTGGTGTTTGTGTGTTACTATATACCCAAAGAATAAAAGTAAAAATAAAATAAAATAAAAAAGTGAAAAGTGGTATTTTCTTTTCTTTACTTTTCTTTCCTTTTCTTATTGTTACTAGTATTTACTCATCCAACATGGATACGCTACAATACAAGGCTCCCTCTCTCTCTCTCTCCATCTCCAGATACATCACCACAGACTCAGAGAGATGATTATGCCACTGATATATACAGCTCATCCTCTCCACAACTGTGTGGAGAAGAAATAGGTGGTGGGGTTTCTTTGACCATAGTTTTGCTTGCTTCTCTCTCTCTCTCTCTCCCGTCTACTACTGTGTGTTGCACTAGTATCTAGGTCTAAATCTTCTCTCAGTATTTGCAGGGCAGAAGTACTCTATATATAGGGTTTGAGGTCACAGATTAGTCCGGCGGAGAAAGTCAGGGTCTCATACTCGTTGAGTCATTCTGAATATCGAAATGACTTAACT